ATATTCATTTTTTATTCATACACATTTATTTATTTTTACTTACCTATTAGTCTGTTTGCCCCGAACTGAGTTATCGTGAAAAGGTATACATACTTGAAATCCGATGAACATTTGTTAATGATATCATTTATTTGCAATATATTTTGTAAGTTTAATGTAATTTTATATTTACAAAAAAGCTAGAAACAAAATTATCAATGTGTTGATTAAAATTATAAATTTTTTGTAAAATGAAACATTACTATAACTTGGCAAATTATTTTTAAATTTCATTCGAACTTTTTTTCTAAATTTTTACATTAGCACCAAATAATGTTGATAAGGCATTTATTGTCTTCAAATGAAAAATTTGCAAATTTTTACCGTTTTATCTAAATAAGCAATTAACCGTTGTGTTTCGCCTTTTTTTTTGTTCTTTTCCTTTGTTTAATTTTTATACTGTCTTAAGTTTTTTCATTTTATTTAAAAGAAAAGAAAAAACTGTTCAATATCTTTATTTTATTTTTCAAGTAAAATAATTGAAATATTAACTTGAATTCTTCATTAAATAATTAATATATAATGTTTAAAAATTTGTACAATTTTAGGGAATTCATGGTGAAGCATATCTTTGTAATTCATACTATCTCATTCGAGATGCATTTGAATGCGGTGAAAAAATTTTCACCGAAATGTGTTCATCATATGCCATCCAAAATTTACGACAATTACTGCTATTGGTATGTGTTATCGATTAATTTGCATGCAATTGATAAAATTAAATTCCACGATAAAAAAAAAAATTGAAATTATCGTAATGTTATGAATATGATAAAATATCTAAATTTCAGGTGATAGAGTTAGGATCTGAAGAAGGTTGCCCCGAAGAACGTCCAAATAATTTAGATGAAATTATGTCACGACCAATAATTGCTTCACCTGTTACTGATAAAATGATAAGTTTTCTTACTCTATTCATTCATTTATTTGGACGAAAAAAAAGTTTCATTCATTAATTTATTTTTTTAAAATGTGATTATAATGATGGATTACTTAATGAAAATAATTAATAAATCAAATTTTGATTGGATTTTACTTCAACATCAATAAGCTTAAATTATTCAACATCAATAAGCTTAAATTACTTTTTTCTGTAAAATTCAGTTAAAATATAATGGCAATTTATTAATTGGAGTCAAATTTTGCTATGAATATAGGAAATGATATAAGCAAAACAAATATAAAATTAATAAATTACCGCATTTTAGATCAATCATTTTTTGTTTCAAACTACTAATGCTAAATAAAGCCTGAAAGTGCTTTGAATTAACTTTTTGCATTAATTTATTTTGTACTTTCTTTTAAGTTCAACCACCATCACAAACCCCCGTGATCTGTGAACCGATGGATCAGAAGCAATTCGCGTCATGCATTCAAACCATCACCACCTTTCAGCCTCATCCCTTGGCTGTCATTAGACAACCGAAACAAATTGATGAAGCCTGCAAGCAGTTTGTCGAATTTAAAAAATGCCAAGCTAATATTAGCTGTCTGCCACTATGGGCCAAAGGAATGATAGCGATGTTCGATTTTGCTTGCGGTTCGGGATATAGCACGTATATACAGGTAAGATATAAACCGGAATGGAATATGTTTTAAGGAAGAGGAAGATTGAAACAAAGAATGAAAATGAAATTGGAGCAAGGAAAAGGACAATGATAATGAAATCTAAGTAAAATTAATAACACAAATGTTGTATTAATGGGGTTATTAATTACTAATTTGAAAAGAAAAATCAAATTGGATTGATTAATGAATTGGACTGATAGGAAGTAATTAATTATTGAAAATTGAATTGATTAATGAACTGGACTGAGAAGAAGTAATCAATTGCCGAAATTGATTAATAAAAAAAATGTTGACATTTGTTGACAAGACAAAAAATTAGTAAATTATTTTAGGTGCGACAATGCATCCGTAAAATGACAACACGTGAGCATATACGTGAATGTGTAAGTGAGTTTTCACGTAGTTCGCCTCAAATAGCTTGTCAAAGTTCTAAGAAATTGCTTGCTTGCTCAGTACCTGTAATTAGTGAGAAATGTGGTCAACTTGGAGCGCAATTTGTCACCGATTATATTGGTAAATTTGTAAGCGTCGTTGATCCGACATGCAAAATCAGAATGGAACAAAATGGTAAATATTATACTGAAACTTAAAATATAAAATTAATAATCAAATTTTCGATAATTTTGAAGAGTAATTCATTGCTCTGAAATTTAATTTGCTTATTTAAGATGTTTGTCACAGTAAAATTGACAAGTCACTTTGTTTTCTTATTCATTAGATAAGCAATTAAATAGATAATTAAATTCTAACAGATTTTAATATTATTCGGGATCTATTTGTATCTTTTCTTAGTACTTGCAATTTATTTACTTTTACTTTCCATTTAGCTATTTATTAACTTTACACTTCTTTACCTTTTCACTCATTTGTTAATTTGTTCATCTTAATTACTAATTAAATTTACAGAAACAAATTGTTAAATTTCCACTTAACTATTTAAATATACCACTCATTTAATTTTAATTGAATTCACTTTTAGTTAATTATCTTTCCATTTAATACTTCATTCCAATAACTTATCTAATGGTAGCTTTTAGATATCTTTAATACTTTATATGATGAATGAATTTTTTCATTAAAATAGCTCAATCAATTATTGATTTTCCTTCTGACCTGTCATCTTTTGCTCAACATTTAATGGAAATTTCCATTTTACATAAATTTTAATTTATGAATGAAAAAATTGTGATTTCTTTTTGCAGACAAATCAATTATGAGTTATAATTGTACGGCTGAGCAAAATGCTCGCATCGATTACTGTGCCGCACCAATTAATGAATTAACATCCAGAATTGATGAATTATTTGAAGTGAGCAAATATTTTGATTTCATTCTCTATCATAAATGTTTATACGAAATTGGTAAATTAATTTAACAATGAGCATAAAAATTAATTAATTTTATCAGATATAATGAAATAACTAATTATAGTAATGGAATACTATTATAGCAAATGAAACATCATGTTTTTATTATATTTTACAGGGTGGATTGCAACAATTTTTAGCTAATGTCAAAAATTTGGCATCCGTATTCGTGAAAGGTTGTAATTTGACGAACGAATTCAGGGATTGTTTGAGGCCATTGATAGAGAAGCAATCGTCAGAACGACAATGTGTCGTTTCAAGTTGCCTAATTCAGGCTGGTGATGGAATATGTAATCAGCCTGATACTGCTAAGGCTATTGATGATAATTTAGGTTGTGTTTTTAAGCAGGTTGGTTTATTCTTCAATATTACATTTTTACTTCCCTCTTTTGTTTCTCTTTTTGATTTTAAATTAGATTTTTTAATTTAATGATTACGTTTTTTTTTTTGTTAACTCATCATACATGACTTCTCTTTTTTAAATTTTAATTATGTTAAGTGAATTGTTAGGTAAAAAACGGAACACTTCTAAAGATTATTATTGTAAAGTAAACATTTGCTCCAATTATGTTTTGTTTCAGTCATTACGAAAATGAATAACATAGCATAATAATTAAAATTATTGCAAAAAAATCAAATGAATTATAAAAATAATGTTAAATTTCAAATTTTCAAACAAAAAATCTAAAAATGATGCTAATAAAGAGAACTACGGTAATAATTGAAAGTTAAACAAAATATTTCGCAATTTGAAAAATTGTAACATGAAATTGCAATTTGAAATTGTTTGAAAATTAAATGATTCAATTACACAATTAAATTACTTAATCTCATTAATTACCTTCCTTAAATGTATTAAATGAATGAAACATAATTTTTCTTTTTCATCATTACCCTTCT